TAGCATTGGAAGAGCCCATTGGGCCTAAATTGGCAATCTCACATATGGAGAAAGTCACAAGCCATCCGACTTTTGAAGTCCTTAAGAGGTCTTCTATATTTCCCTGATTGTTAGTTTGTAGAGTCAAATATAACTGAGTGTTGTCAGCATAACGATGAAAAATATATACTACTGCCAAGAGGAAAAGAGCAAAGGAACTCAGATTGACCCCAGAGGGTCCCAACAAGTGATACTAGCTAAGGAGAATAAGAACATTAGGTGTTGATACTTTCCTTTGTGGCTCTGACAGTAATGTAAGATGTTTGTGTTCATGCTTTCCTGTTTAAGTCTATTTTTGGTTTTTGGTTCTGTGTTTCTCTGGTAGCCTTGTTTATTATTTTATTTGAATTCTTGTTCTAGCGTCTTAGTTCTTGTCTTTGTATTTATTCTTGGTTTTGTGTATATTATTTTGGTCTTGTCGACCTTGTGTTCTGTTTCATCCTAGTCTCTCTCTGTATCTCTGTTTGGTTGTAGTTAGTTTCTGTCTCCTCCCCCTGTGATTACTGTGCCCTGTCTGTTCTCTCATTGTGTCTGTGACTCAGTCCTTAGTCCTATGTCTCCATGTTAGTGTAGTCCTTTTTCCTTTTGGTCCTGTTTCTGTTCCATGCCCCGGTTTTGTTTTGTTGTGCAATTTTACTTTGGTAACTCTATCCTTGTGTGTTCCCACTTGCTTTACTTCCTGTTTTATTTTGTAGTATTCAGTTTTCATGTGTCCTTGTCAAAATTTGTTTCCTGTTGTTCGATTGCCTGATGTGTTTCACTGTGCTTCCTTCCCTGCTCCTTTGCTTGTGTATTTAAGACTAATGTGTTCAGTCTTTGTGACGTCCTTGTCAATGTTGAGTGTTCTGCTCTGCCCGTGCTCTGGATTACTTTGCTGTTGTTGGATTATTCTCTCCCTTATTCATAGTTTATAGTCACGTGACATGCGCGGTGACCTGGAGGGCAAAACCGCGACTCCCCCGTAAAGATGCCGCAAAAGCAGTCAAATTTTATTTGGATCACCTTTCAACTTAAGAAAAAGAACGATATGAACACAAACTACAAGTGTTGGGCATATCTGATCCATATAACGTTACAGCATCCGCTGCTGCATTTCAAATGTCAGGTCCCTGCCGCCGCTCGACAGCGGTAATGTTTACTTTTACCTTCTGAGGAATCCCTCACCTAAGCACAGCTCAGGTTTGTCTCCTCGATTAGTAAATCCGAATGCACAACAACCATCCAGCATTTTGACAACACAAAAAGTAACAAACTCAAAGTAACATTGTATTACTTGCATATTGGATGGCAGGCAACGGAAATTAGCGTCATTTTGCCCTCCGAGGGAGCGTTTTCATTGGAGTGTGACGTTAGTGAATAATATGAATTGGATAACTGCTTGCCTGTTCTGGATTCTGTTTTGTTTGGACTCTTTTCCTGAAATGTGCAGTTAGGTTAAATAATAAAAAATAATAATTTGATTAAATAAATATTTCGTTGAACTGAATACTCCTGCCTGTGTCTGCGTTTGGGTCCACACAAGACTGGACTCAGCCAACGCATGAGAGTTTCTAATAAATAACTGGCTTAAAATTGGTTTGCAGTGTTAAGCAATCCTTCGTTAGCCAAATAAAGAGGAATCGGACAATGAGAAGAATCAACTGTCTCAATATTTGAATAAAATAAAAAATTTAATATTCATCAACAGTTCTAGTGCTGTTAGAGGGGTTAATGACTAAATGGTTGCAAAATAAGTCACTCTTGCAACTTTAACTGCAGCTAAAACAATTTTAGGCTTGGGTTTTCTATTTTGAGAGGGTCAGTGGGATTAAGAGTAGTTGAGCAGGTGGGGTTGTGTATATAGATATTCACTACATTCTCCACACTTTACATGCTACTGTATATAAAACCCTTTTAATGCAAATTCACTTCATATCTTTTTTCATGTTAGAATAATCATCAGACCAGTGGCCTCTTGCACCCTCTTTTTAACATCTTTTGTTTGCCTATGCTATGTTGTCAGGCGACCTTTTGTCAGTTTCTACAATGCACGTTATTTATTTATTTTTTCAGACCAAATGCCACAAGGGCTATAATAATAAGCTTTGTACATGTCAGCAGGCACTGATATCAGTTCCCAGAATAGTGTAAAAATGTTAATTCTTCCATAAGCGGGGGATCTATTAGATCTAATCAGAAATGCTTAATTGAGGTACGCTCAGTCATAATTGCTATTGAAGTTGCTGCAGCTTTGGCAGCAAAAGCAGCAAAGAAAATCTATGGTTTGAAAGACCAATAAGGGATTTAGTAAACAAATTAAATCATGGAAATGGGTATATACATTATTTGAGAGAGAGAAAAGGCATTTTCTCTGGTTGGCTAGGCAGCAACCGAAGACCAGGAGCAGAGCTGTATAGAAAATAACCACCATAAATCAAGATGGCTTGATGCCCGCTCTGCTGTCCAGCACTCCTGCCAAGACTGGCTCCGCTGATGCCCACTTTCCTCCATACCTATTCAGGCAGACAGATAGGAAGAGTTATAGCTGTTGATGGCAGCCAAAGCTGTCAGAACCACCACTTCATCACAACTAACACAGGCAAGGGAATCAGAGAGAGCAACACCTCATATTGTAAATCGGATCAAAATTGGCTTTTTATTAATAATTAGATATGGTTCAGTTATTGCAGTCCACCTCCAGGATATTTGAATGATTATGTATTATTTAACAATTTATCAATGCTACTTTGGTTGTCCATAGGAAGCTTGTAAACAGTATTAATTAAACTGCAGCATTAATCTACTCTGAATCAGTGCCTCTTGATATATAGCCTATTTTAGCTCTACAGCTTTACTGCCCTTACATAAATACAATTGCTGGAAAAAGTATGCAAACCCTTAGGAATTACCTGGATTTCTGCATAAATTGGTCATAAAATGTGATCTGTTCTAAGTCAGAACAACATAGCGCAGGGTGGAAAAAGTATGTGAACCCCTACGCTAATGAATTCTCCAAAAGCTAATAAAATTTGGAAGTCAGCCAACCTAGAGTCAAATCAATGAGATGAGATTGGATGTGTTGGTTAGAGCTGCCCTGCACTATAAAAACACACAATTTTGAAATTCTAATTAAGCATTGCCTGATGTGAACCATGCCTCGAACAAAAGAGCTCTCAGAGGACCTATGATTAAGAATCGTTGACTTTCATGAAGCTGGGAAGGGTAACAAAAGTATCTCTAAAAGCCTTAATTTTCATCAGTCTGTGGTAAGACAAATTGTCTATAAATGGAGAAAGTTCAGCACTATTGCTACTGGCAAAATATTCTGTGGACAGATGAAAACAAACAACACACAAGGAAAAAATGTATAGCACACAAACATCGAAAACCTCATCCCAACTCTGTAGTATGATGGAGGGGAAATTTTTGTTTGGGACTGATTTGCTGCCTCAGGGCCTGAAAGGTTTGCTTTCATTGATGGAAAAATTTATTCCAAAGTTTATCAAGACATTTTACAGGAGAGTGTAAGACCATCTGTCCGCCAATTGAAGCTCAACAGGAGATGGGTGATGCAACAGGACAATGACCCAAAGCACAGAAGCAAATTGACAACAGAATGGCTTCAGCAGAACAAAATACGCCTTCTGGAGTGGCCCAGTCAGAGTCCTGACCTCAAAAAGTCTAAAGAGGAATGGTCCAAAATTCCTCCTGACTGTTGTTCAGGTCTGATCTGCAACTACAGGAAATGTTTGGTTGAGGTTATTGCTGTCAAAGGAGGGTCAATTAAAATTTTATTAATTAATTAAGCCTGTTAAATATTCACTTTGGGGCTCCAAAGTGGACATTACTATTGTGCATGCTGGTTAACTGACATTGCTTTCTGTCAAACCTTGATGTAACAAAGTAATTGTTTATGCTATTAGCTACACCTGTGCTTTTCCTGTTATGACAACTCAAAATGTCTGTCGTGAGATGTGTCTACTGGCCCCAATTTATGTTAGCATTGGGTTGGTAAAGAGACAAGGTAGATCCATTTGGAAATAATTAGTGAATGAGAAGGAGTGTTTCTATTCAAAAGAGAAACTCAGTCCAACAGAACTGCGAGTATGGCAAAAGTACTGTATGTTGTTGTACTAATGGAAATTATTACAAAATTATGCTGAATTTGTCAGAAAAACAGTTTAAACGTGGAGGAAGTAAATTTGCTTTAACTGCAGCAATGGCAAACTAACTCAAACGGGAGCAGATTAGAAAACAGGTCTTCATCACTACAAATTGATCAAATATAATAAAATAAAGGAAAGAAAATGAAACCAAAAGATATGCTCTAATAATGGATGCACATTCTTGATCTGTTTGTTAGCAATATGCTTTAGAAATAATATTTTTTTCAATCTGAGATGGAAATATCTCTTTCTCAGAACTGTGGGACATGTTAAGTCACTATTCCTCAGCCTTTTTGCCAGTATGTGTGGGCCCACATGAGTAGGCTGAAGCAAAAATATTCATCTTTAACAATCATCTGAATTTGAAAACATATTGAAAAACTATCAAATGATTTATATTGATCTGCCTCTTGTTGCCTTGTTACAAGGCAGTGACAGATGTCTGTAACGTCATTAGTGAATAATGATTAGAAACTCAAATTCTGTCAGTATTGCCACAACATTCTTGATCAGTTCAGCTAAATATATAGCAATTGCTATGAACATGTGTTGCAATTTGCCTGTATCATATATTCAGTATAACCTGCCTGACATCCTGATGCTGAGTCAGACTCTTTGACTTTGACTTTTCAAGTGTGACTGTTCACAGATACACCTGAGTTGCAAGTTGACTCGGTTTTCATCAAGGGATTTCATTCAACATGTCTCTTTGAAATGCGTGTAGAGAAAAATCTAAGCAAAAATATATAAATAAACCATTTAGAGGCTGCAAATTAACGTCACCGTTATCATTATTATGTCATCATGGCAGCTCACCTTGGCTTTGTTAATGGTGCAGTGCAGTGCATTGTTCTCCTGGTCATACTGCAAACTGAATTCCAAGGTCCCCAATGTAGCTGTAAAGACAGAGAAGGAGAAGGGAGAGAGAGAGAAGGAAATTAGTAGCTGGAAAAGAAGAAGCACATCAACAGCCAGGGGAGAGAAGAAACCCAAACCTCCCTGCCTGCATCGTTAGAAAGAATAGTCCTAATGGTAAATCTCATGGTGTTCTTGGCAGTGACTTGTAATAATAGCCATAATAATCAACATAGAAATAACCACACAAGAAATAGACATTTACAAAATTGTTGAATGGAGTTTTGCGTTTCGTGTTTCATCGATGTTTTTCTGTGTCTCATTTTGTCTCAATTTGTGGCGCACAGACTTGATAAACAAAGAGCAAGTGTGCCTGCATAAATAACTAAATCCAAGATCCTATTTCACATTGATTAAATGTGAAAAATAATAACTAATATAGTGTGCAAATGTTTGCCTCTTCTGTACGCACAGTGCATCTGTAAAACCACCAGCCATCAACAGCACAGTCTAAATGACTATTTTGACCCAACCTGTTGCTCATATATTGTAGCTTGATAGCTCACATCTAACTTGCTTTCGACAGTATTACACACAAGATAGAGAGCCAAAAGTGAAAGGAGAAGTGTATGGAACTATGTGTTTCAAAAAAACAAAAAAACAACTATAGCACAATGCTGTCAAGTGCTCTAAATATAATGGATTTGTTCTTTTCAAGTGTGCTGCTCAAGCACAAATGTTAAGTCAAAAGGGTAAAAATAATGAACATAATTAAATGGTCACATTTTAAATATGCTGAAGGAATTTTATCAATACCTGTCTGTCTTAGGCTTTACACTGTATCAAATATTAGGATAAAGCAGAGTCTGCCCAGGTTATAGACTTATGATCCCATGTATGGGTTTTATGTCATTCATGTAGCCATTTTTTTTTTTTAGAGACTCTAATGTTTTTAATAGTTTTTTTGGAACTGGCTCAAATTAGATGTTTAATTGTCTGCTTGCATGCCCGCTTTACATTGTTTACCTCTCAGGCTGAAATTGAGACCCACTTCACCCCTGCTTGTAATTAACCATCTTTTCTTCAAACTAAGGGGTTATACCTTATTGAACCACTAAAGTGCTGAGTGGTGATCTGACACAATGTTTGGCATGATCTCATCCTGTTGTCCTTTCAAAATGCCAAATGACAAGGCTTGATGAAATGTTGTCAGGATGATTTTCAACAAACATAAAAAAGGACATGTGTGGGCTTCAAAAGGCCTCACATTGTGTTGTTGGTACCAAATAACACCCGTTTTTTACTTCATTCACACATTGATATTTATATGAGCAGTGAAAACAACATTAGTTTTATGGATTTGTACTTGTACTTGTAGCTACTGTAATTGCCACCTCCTCCATGCATCCCTCCTCTTATGAATGTCCCAGTAGATTTGGCTGAAATGTAGTGGATTTTTGTATAAGTATTTTTGCTAGGCATGGCAATGTTAGTTGGTCAGTCTACCACTTAGTTCCAAACTGAAATATCTGAACAACTACTGGACTGATTGTCATGAAATTTAGTACAGACCTTCATAGTGCACCTGGGATGAATTCTCATGACTTTGTTGATCCCCTGATTTTTCCTGTAGTGCCAAAAATCTTGACAACTGTTGGATGATTTACTATGTAATTTGGTACTGACATTGCTTCTTGACGTGCATTCTTGATGCAATTTACTGCTGTACGTGCCTTGCATTTCATTGTGGGATATAAAAATCATGCTACTGGACATAATTCTCACCAGCATCAGAAAGAGAACTAAACATCGTACTTTGTCCTTGTCTAGAATGACATAGAATCGTTTTCAAGGTTCATCCTTGTGTATTAATTTTATTTACCAAGATCATGGTTTGGGTTGGGCTCTCCCGTGTCACCATATTCAGTAAATGGGGTAAATTACAAGGTACATTAGAACTTGACTGCCTTATCCAACTGAATTACCATTGTCCAAACTGCTAATGCTTTTAAGGTTTCATATCTTGAAACCTGGCACAGTATATTAAGCATGTTTGGAAATGTTGTTGACATCTTCACTGGAATTTGAGGCAAAATGATTTGAGTAAAGAAAGCTCAGCTGTGTAACAGGTGTTTGAAGTGGTGGATGCATCAGTGGGACCAACAGGGTAGAAAAGGTTACCAGACAAGCGCTCCAATCCTGGAAAGGGCAAGGCCTTAGTGTCTTGCTAAAGAGAAGTTTGATAGCTGTGATAAATGTATTGATTTTGGAAAGGTAGCAAAGCTTTGGTCTCTGAGTTACAGCTTTGAAACTAATTATCCAGGTAATGTTGCCTTTAATTATATTAAAGTGCAATTGCAAAATATTTTTACTGCGGTGCCGCTGAAACAGAGTAAAGGTAAATGTAAAGGTACTATATTTGTCACATACACATACATGCGGCGAAATTCATTCTCTGCATTTAACCCATCCCTGAAGGGAGCAGAAGTTGACAAAACGTGTTTTACAGAAGACCATGTATGTAGTACATGTAGAGTAGAATAAAGAAGGTTATTTCATTGACAATTCCTCTACGACCCAGACTTTAAAAACAAATTAGTTACAGGATAGTTGGCTTAACCACCAGACTGAAACTAGGATCTCATCAACATTAGTACCTCTTAAATAGACCCGTATCAATAGTTGGCTAGCTTCCAAAGCATTAATTCCACAAGTTTTGAATTAAGTCTTTGTTTGTGATTAGAGTAGCCCTAAGTCTTCTAAACAGCAGTGAATCGATGCTCCTCTAGAGAAAGCTGAGCTCATCAGCAATGACTGAAATTTCACCACCTCCAATCCCAACACATACCAAGATGAAGAAGACATTTACTTTGCTGCCCAGTTTGTTGACATTGTGGTACATGATTAATGGGTAGCCCATTATTTTAAGTTTTCCAACCACTGTGAACAGACACTGTTATTTGGTGTTGCAAAACTGCCCATTGCAGCTTAAGAGTGGTTTGAGATCTATGTGCTCTGAACAACCACATTTTATCCAGAATGTCCTGAAACACATGTTTAATTAGGATTGACACCAAATTAAAGGCTTTTTTAGTTTCCTGCTGTGTCAGATTTTACTTCCCATCATTTTGTGCCTCACTCTACCATAACCTGAACCAGTCCTTTTCCCTGATCCCAACCCCAACCACTCATCTCTATGAATACAAATCATAACTCAACCTAAGCCCTAAAGCTAACCACAAATGCCAGTGCAGTGAAATTTGGACCACTTGAAAAGTTTGACTTTTTATTCATGTTGATGTTGGGTGGTGTTGGTTGGCTGGTCCATGCAGCTCTGTCGAAAATATCTCAACAACTGCTGTGCAGATTTCCTTGGAATTTGGCATCAATAATCATGATCCACAGAGGATGACTATTTTGTTGGCCCCTGACCTTTCCACACTACCATCAGATTTACAAAGCAGATCCATGCACCCCAGAGGATCCCTCTAGCTTTGTGCACTAGAAAGCAGCAGCAGCAGCAGCTGCAACATGATATAATAGTGATGTTTCTATGAAATTTGCTGAACATATTCATGCTCCCAAGAGGAAGGAATTTGTCTTTTCCTCTGGCGCCATTTACATTTTAGCCCCACCAATGGTTCATCACACTGAAAATGTTATTTTCTTCATTGTTAATTGTTTGTGGTTCCCAAACAGAAATGCCAAACCATGTTGTCTGCATCATTTTCAGTCAACACACAAGCTGCTAGGAGCACTTAATGTTTGAACAGAATTATGCAAATTAAAGAAGTCTTATTTTTTTAAGTCGACATACAAAAGCCAATAAAGCTGTGTCGATCTTATCCACATCTTGAATTCATTCTGGCTCTATTCTTAACCTATACAGCTCTAATTTGTCAATTGTTTCTCCAACTGGGGAAACAACAGTCAATGAGCACAATATCAGACCTCTTTGTTCAAGAAATCAGATATGTGGGCAACGATTCAGAAGCCTGGAACCAGGCTTGTCTTGTCTCCAAGAATAGCAAAATCTTCAGTATACTTATTGTTCTGTCCAAAAAGGTTATAAAAAAAACTTTCAAATGTCTTCATTTAGTGGATGTACTGTTATGATAACATCAGGCTGATGCAGGTGATCATGTCCATGATGAATATGTTTTATTGTGTATTTACAGTGTAAGATACAATATTTAGCTTCTCCTTTGAAAGAATCCATGAAGAGTCCCTGCCTTTTCTCTGGTAATGGTTAATTAAGCAGACTCAATTAGCCGATATATTTCACAATGACAGGAAGGGCAAACTTAAAAGGATTTATTAGGGATAAAGGAACAAGACATAGTTTGTTCTGCCATGAAGTGCTTCATAATATTAATATTTAATTTACTGTAACATTGCCTCTGTTTATCTCTGTATTTGGGGTAACAGTAGGATTCTATTAGGCAGTTTGTGGAGGAGCTGCTTGTAACACTATTTTGCACTGCAAATGCATGAGCCATCTGGAAAGCTGTGGGGTACGGCCCAGTAAGATGCAACAGTGCTGTGAACTCTACAGGAGTATGATAAAGTGGAGTCATTCTTCCTACAGTGGAGTCATATTCCCGTCTTGCTGTGCAACCTAATTTCTGTGACTCCCAGACAATTCAAGACAATTCAATTTCAAGTGGCTACTTAACAGTAGCAATAATTATACCCAATTTTCTCTAAAGAATCATTCATTACGTAATTCCTATAAAAACAAGGAATAAATTAATTTCATAATTATTTGTACCCAGGTCTTTCATTAGAAGGTGCTGAGTTATGAACTGACTTAAAATATCTTTGAACGTACCTTTCCATTCCTTTTTTCCCCCTTGAGAACGACATGTGAGAGCAACGTAATTCAGAGTGCAGGACTATGACAGTAAATATGTTGAATTGATTGGATGTTGAAATATTGTAAAACATCAGGTGAAGATCCAGAGAGAATTCTATTGTTAAAATCAGGAGGTAAATCAGACAATTTCCTGGGTAACAAAGGATGACAAGGGTTGGGAAAGTG